CCTTCTCAAAAAGCTAGCATGATCAACTCGGTCAGAAAGTTGAGAAAGAGAGACGTCACACTAGCAATTGGAGATGGTGCCAACGATATTGCCATGATCCAGAGTGCTGATATCGGTGTTGGTATAACAGGTAAGGAAGGTTTGCAAGCTGCAAGATCTTCTGATTACTCCATCGCTCAATTCCGCTTCTTGCTTAAATTGCTTCTTGTGAACGGTCGTTACAATTACATCAGAACAGCGAAATTTGTTCTTACAACATTCTACAAAGAGCTTTTGTTTTACTTGACACAATGTGTCTACCAGAGAAACACTATGTTCACAGGCTCCTCGATGTACGAAAAGTGGTCGTTGTCGATGTTCAACACCCTTTTCACGTCATTGCCAGTTCTTTGCGTTGGTATGTTTGACAAGGACTTGAAGCCTTCCACCCTTCTAGCGGTTCCGGAGCTCTACGCCATAGGTCGTAACTACAGGGCTTTCAACCTCAAGGTTTTTATTTATTGGATGGTTTTGGCTGCATTGCAAAGTGTCGGTGTCTCCTTTATCGCCTACTATGCTTGGGGTTTCAGTGCCACAAAAGACAACACAACCTTGCCCTTGGGAACCTTGGTCTTCTGGACCCTTGTTATTGTCATTAACGCCAAATCACAATTCTTGGAGCAGCGCAACAAGCAGTGGTTGGCATTTGCATCGTTCATCATCTCGGTAGCTGGCTACGGGCTCTGGAATGTCCTCATCATGTTCCTCCATCGGAGCAACATTACTACCATTTATTATGCCGATTATGGACTCATGGAGTTTGGTGCTGATATTTCATGGTGGGCTACGCTTTTGATTCTCACCACTTGTCTTTTGTTCTTTGACTTTGTTTTACAGTTGTTGAAGATCATGTTCAAACCAAGTGATGTGCAATTGTTCCAAATTTATGAGAAGGATCTCGATCTCAGAAGAATGTTTGAGGAGAGATCGTTCAACGAATTGAAGCAGGGCTGGTTGTTCCCCAGAGATCCATCAACTACATTCTTGAAATTGAAGAAATTGGCAAATAAGTTATTTGGCTCAAATCTTGGAGCAAACGACGATTTTGTGGTTGATGAGACACCAGGCTCTGCTGCTCATAGGAAGCGTGCTGGAACGAATCCTTTGGAATCTGAGCTTCCACCAAGCGGTGAAGGTGTCGGTTACACTGGTGATGTTGACCGCTACATCGATGACGAATATGTTGTGTTACCAAGTGGCACCCGCGTGAAAGTCAAGAAGCCCGGTATATTCTCGAAGATAGCGAAGAGGTTCAAAAAGAATAAGGAGCAAGAAGACGAGGAGATCGATGACATTATCGACAATAGAATGAGAGGACTTGAACCGTCCTGATTGCAAATAGATAAAGGACACAGGTTTTCATGACGTTTATTGAAACAATTTTTGAATATCTCTGATGCGGAATTGAAATGCTTAGGCCTCCGTAAACTTGAAGAAGAAGGTGAAGAAAGTTGCCGCGAAGATGAAGAAACAGATCATATTAGGGCCGAACTTGTCGGAGTATTGGGCAATCTTCTTCTCTCTGATAGCAATAGTTCTGCCAATGTACTTGATGATGGAGTAGGTCAAGGTGAACAATGCAGTGATGAAAAATCCAACAGCTGCCACTATGGATGACTTGTCACCAAAATTAAGTAAAGCAGTTGCAGTGGCACCAAGAATCATTCCAATAGACAACCAGGCCAAAAAGGTTCTTTCGGCAGCAAAGTAGACTTTGGGTTCAATTCTGATGGGCACACAAATCTTCTTGCCCTTGGGTAATCTGGATGCAAACGTGGAGTTGATGTCAAAGTCAGTTCCTGGCTTGATAGTAAATGTTCTGTCGTCGTTGAAGACATGCAAGAACTTGGCCCAAAGGAAACGGAAGAAGTTGGAGACCGTGGAGTTGTCCCTTGCTGTGTAACTAGAAGGCAAGAGCAAAGGCGAGTTCTCGTCCAAGTCCTCTTCCAATGGGTTGACGTCGTTGGAGAAGTGAACTGAAGAGTACTGATTAAGTTCTTCCAGCAACATCTCTTCCTCGTCTAACTCACCACCAGAGGACGAAGACTTGGGCTTTTGCTGCTGTCTGGAGATACCGTAGCCTTGTTGGATACGAGGCTTACGGATGTCCACATCCATCTGTGGCCACCAGAACGGAAGCAAATTCACTCTGTCGGTCAACAAGGTAGCACCACCATGAATAAACTTCGAGTATTTTGGAACTGCCTCGACCAAGTGACTGGCAACCAAATCTCTGACCCAAATTGGAGGCTCCTGGCCCATTTGTGTCTGCAACTTGACCTCCAAAACAGCGTAAGGGAATCTGCAAATATCTCTTTCCGGAAGCTGAGAGAATGGCCAGTCCACGCCAATGTCCATTCTTCTCCAGTTGCCATGCGTTCTGTCGTAGCCGTCAAAGTTGTCTTCACGGACCATAGATAATTCAGTGTCAAGGGAGATACGAACACGGGCATCGCCGGGAAGCTGGAAGGCAGTTCTGTTGTAGAAAGAACGCATCACGGGTCTATACTTGTGCTTCAAGACGGAGTATTGCACCTCTTTAGCAAGCAGCTCCAAGTTGTGGATTTCCTTGGCCGACTTCTTGCCCTCGTTTCTCATCTTCTCAAAAGCCTGAGTGGCCGTGTACTCACCCTTGAGGAAAGCATTCACCTTCTTCTCCTTCAAGGCAAAACGGGCCTTCACGGATTTCTCACCGGTCCAGTCTTCTCTGTGGGTCTTTCTCTCCACGAAAATCTGGTCACTCTTCATGCCACCGTACCAACGCAAACGAATGGCCTCTGCACCTTCGTCCTTACGCAAACGGCCGTAGTACAAATCCATGTCCTTGTTGTCAAAGTAAATGGACGTAATGGCCGAATCCTCGGGCTCAAACTCCTTCTCGGCGTTGAAAACCAAAACAGGCAAGTGCTTCAAAATGATCAATTTCAACTCGGTGATGTTGTCTGGGTGGACCCAGTACTTGGTGGTCTGTCTCACAAAGTTCTGCTGGGACCCACCAGCAGACGAGTCACCCTTGACAGGGTTACCCCTGGTTCTCACCAAATCGTACAATTTTGACAACTTGACAATCAAATTATCGTAGTTGTCCTTGTAGAATGGCTTAGCGTTCAAACGAACCTGGAAAATAGGCTTCAAGCTGTAGCCGGTGGTCTTGTCGTGCTTCTTCAAGATCTTCTGGAAACCAGTGTAATTGAGACGAGTGAACTTGGCCAAGTCGTGAACGTCGGCGATAATGTCGGAGAGATCCTCCTCCAAGTCCTCAAAGTCCTGCTCCAGAGGCTTCTTTGTCTTGGTATCTGGGTTCTGCAAAGCATCCACAACCTCGTGCACGTACTTCTCCGCCAGCTCGATACGGCGATTGACCTCTGTGTTCTTCACTTTCGTGAACAGGTACACCTTATCGAGCTCGGCCTCCAAGGCTGCAAGGAACTCCTCCTCGAACTCGTCAGTCCATTCGTAGTCGTTCTCCTTCAAGTGTTTTTTCAACTGGTGCTTGAGATCATCGTAGTCGATGTAATAAAAAGAATAGTTCTTGATGAGCGCCTTGCGCAAATGCTCTCCGAACTTCATCGGTGTTGGAGGATGTAGTTGGTAGGAGAATGGATGGTGATATTACAGTTAATGAGGTGCGCCCCACGTGCGGATCTGCCAGGTGACGGAGTATGAATTGTGGAATTTGGATTTGTGGACTTTGGAATTTTGATAAAGTGAAGCGAATTGATTGGATTTGGGCGATTTTCAATTATCAGGTTTATCGATGAAGGGTTTGTGGTTCTTGGTGGCTATCTTTCGCAGCCACCTTGGACAAGATAAGAGAATCGAGATACGGTTCAGGGAATGAGGAATGCGCCGAAAGAATGCGGAATTGCACTCTGTCGGGGGTGAGTTTTTGAAAATTGGAGAATTTCACATCAAAAAATCATACAATAGTTCATTTACGTTGGTATTGGTGTTGTTCTTCATGCGGCACGCTGCAGTATAAGTGATGCTTCTGCGAGCCGTGCAAAAAAGTAGGTCCTATCCGGATTCGAACCGGAGTTGTTCGGATCAAAACCGAAAGTGATAACCACTACACTATAGGACCCGCGCATGAAAGGAGAAATGCAGGAACATATATGAGGAAGCTGGTTTAACGTGGTAAATGGGTACTGCATATAGCGGGTCACCTACGATATTCGCCTATTTCTTCGATTTCACCACCGGCGGGCTGGTGAGGATAAAATTACCTTAGGATTTGTTTGATTTCGGTCAATTTCACTGGCGATAAGCCACATTTTCAATAACTGAAATTAAAAGTTCAATCTGGCGAATCGTGAATTGACTAGTTCACCCAGCTCTACGACGTTAGTGAAATCAAGGTAGCGACAGTGATCGCTGTGTTCAGTTCAAATTCCGTGAATCTAAAAGAATTATCAATTTTTTTTTTTTGTTTGATTCATCTGATTAAATGGAAAACCCTATTTACCATCAATTATCATTGTCAATTAAAATCATGTTTGTACTTTTGTCTTAATCGCATTTTCGTGCAACTTTCCCTGCTTTTCGCAGTAGTTGCAAATTACCGTTTATCTAGGCACACAAGAAGCACCCAAAGACTCTGCAAAGACAAGTCGATTTTTATGACTGAATTCTCTTCAATAAATGATTATTTTATAAACCGGCAAAACGCATCAAAATTGAGGAATTGAACTCGTACAACCCCATCAATGCCATATCGTGAATGCGTCTGAGTAACACACCCTGACCGTATCACATACTTGGATACCAAGCACAAAAAGCCAAAAATTACAATACCCCTTACAATCAAGTCTGCAATAGACTCAAAATACAGATTGCACAGTCGTACCTACTCATCAACACAACGTAAATTACTGCAAATTTGGTCAGGCATCAAGACCCGCCAAGACCCTCTCCTCACCTCTTTGTCACTCATCAATGCTCTTCCCACTTTATCCTACGCCATGTTGTGGTTCTTTCTAATTACCGCTGTGTGGGCATTTAAAATTCCCAGATCTTTGCTAGAACAAGACAGAGACGTTGCAGTGAAGTACGCCGTGGACCAGTATGCCATGAACTCTGCAAGGTTGAAGGAGATGATTCCAAGATGTGCCAAAATTGACAACGCCACTTCGTCTTACGACTTCACAGGCAGCCATCACGAGGTATATTTAGAAAGTATTGCCGGTGTTAACGTCAGCATAGTCGACCAGATGGGCATTCCTGTGGATTTGGAGAATAAAGAAGACTATCCAGAACTCGCCAGAAGGATGGATAGGTTCCGGCGCTGTCTCTGGTATGGTGGTGCTTCATTCGTATTTGCTTTTACAAGACATGCTGACGAGGTGGTGAGCGATACTCCAGACAGCTGGGCGCTGAGGGCAGCGCAAATTGTGGACATGTTGTTGTCCGAACTCGACCTCGGAAACCCGGAATTTCGAGAGTTTTTATAATTCGAGCAATGATTTGTTTACATCAACAGGATGTGACATCCACACATGCTCTATGTGTTGGAAGGATCTTACACAATATGATTCCAGGGCCCCTTCGTTTTGCAGAAGTCGAGTGTGAATACGAAAGCTTCAAGATCAAGATGACTCAACTACATTACATAGCCTTCTTCAGACGAAATATGCACAATAAAGCTATGGCGCAAAATTATGTCAAAACTGTTCACGAGACCTGGATCTGCACCTCGCTTCTTTTTCGCTTATCAGCTCAATTCTCTATGCGCCACTTCCTCCAACCAGATGTTGTGGCTCTTTCTAATCAGCGCTGTGTGGGCGGTACAGTTCCCTCTTTCTATGCGGGAGACAAACAGAACAGAAGTACTCAAATACAGCTTGGACCGATATGCCACGAGCTCAGCCAAGTTGAAAACGGTGTTGCCAGCGTGCGCTGAAACCCACAACGCTACCGCCTTTTTCATATTCAGAATCGACGGCCACACGGTCTACTTGCAAAGTATCGATGGTGTGAGCCTGAGGGATATTAACGAGCTCGAGATGGATCAAAGGGACAATGAAAGAGTTGCAAAGGCTTATGCCTTCATCAATTGTATACTGGACAGTGATGCCGAATTTCTGTATGTTCTTACAGGATACTCGACTCAAGATGATGATGATGATGATGCGATAAACGATACTCCAGAAAGCTGGGCCCAGGCCGCTGAGAGAGCAGCAGATTCGTACTTTCGAATGCAGCAGTATATGAACCATCATCATCCGAAATTGTGCATTCCCCGTGACTCCCTTTGAATCAATCCCAAAACTGAAAGAATCTGAAATTATGTAAATTTTCTGACATCATGCATGTCCTGCTTGACATATTTTGTAGCTCCGGGACCCCACATATAAGAGCCCCACTGTGCGCGAATTTCCAACCACAATGCTTCAACTAGCCAGAAGATTCTGCCTAAGCAGCCGCCTCAATGCCGACTTTTCTCATGTTGTGATTGGCGGAGGTGTCGTGGGAACGGCGATAGCAGCTGAATTGCAAAAAGTTCCCGGCAACAGTGTCACCCTTTTGGAGCAGCACGATATGCTAGGCTTCGAAACCACCAGCAGAAACTCCGAGGTGATCCACGCCGGGCTCTACTACCCGCCAGATTCGCTCAAAGCCAAGTTTTGCATCAGAGGCAAGGAATTGATCTACAACAAGGTAGATCCACATATTGTTCCCTACAGCCAGTGCGGGAAATGGGTGGTTGCTCAGAATGAAGAGGAACAAGCGTACATCGAGAAGCTCCACAAGAACGCTGACGCATTGGGGGTTCCGGTTTCGCTCGTTTCTGCCAAACAGGCAGCCAGCCAGTTTCCCATGATCAGCGCCAAAGCAGGTGCCTTGGAGTCGCCAACCACAGGTATCATTCTGGCTCACGACTTGACGCTATTCTTCCACACACAGTTCGAGAATGAAGAAGGTACCGTTGCAATCAACACAAAGGTCGACGACATAGAATTTGAGTCTTCCGTTCCCCAGTATAGATTGTTGTGCACGGAGAAGGGCCTGGGTGAGCAGTTCGAGATCACCGCAGACAACATCGTCAACCTGGCGGGCTTGTATGCTCAAGAAATCGCCAACAAGTTGCTTCCAAAGGAGCGTCACTTCAAGAGCTACTTTGCCAAAGGAAGCTACTACTCGTATGCGCCGGAGAATCCAATCCCCACCAGCAAGATCACTTCCAAGCTCATCTACCCATGTCCTAACCCCAATGCCTCTAGTTTAGGTACTCACTTGACCTTCGATCTTGGAGGCCAATTGAGGTTCGGCCCTGATCTTGAATGGGTAGATGTGGAAAGCGCAGACGATCTCGACTATAATGTTTCAGAAGAGAGGCTTGCTGATGCTGCCAAATCCATTGCAACGTACTTCCCCAGCATCACCGTTGACCAGCTCCAATCCTCCTATTCGGGAGTGAGACCCAAGCTTCTTTCGCAGGCGGACAATAAGAAGCAGTTTGCTGACTTTTACATCAAGGAAGAAGACGGATTCCCTGGGTTTGTGAACCTTGTGGGAATAGAGAGCCCTGGACTCACCTCTTCATGGGCCATTGCCGAGCATGTCGCCGGGCTTTATAAATAGATAGACGGCACGAAGTGCTGAATAGACGGCCGTGAGCCACCTACTTAGTTCAGAGAACGATTCTCTGAGATAGGTCTATGATAGTAGTTACAGAGACCTCAATTGAGCTTTCGCCTCTTGTCGCCGTTCTCTTTGCCGCCCTTGGTGGGAAGATCCTCAGGTTCAGTGGCCAACGGTATTTCGGTGAAGTACTCGTGCATAAGCGCCTGTGTCAGCGTGCACCGTCTAGAAGGATCAAGCTGGGTCATGGAAATCATCAAATCCAAAGCCTTCTCGGTAGCAGCGCTGAATCTGTTTCTGAGCTCTTGTCTCGATGGAGGAGGGTAGACCCTCAATGCATTGTAGAGCGGTAAGCTGGAGACATTCGGCCACGTTTGCTCAGTAGGCGTGCCCAATGCCTTAAACGTCACATCAAGCTGATCGGAGTCGTCTTTGCCCGGAAGGTATGGTGTTCGAAGCATGAGCTCAGCGAATATGATACCCACAGACCACACATCGACGGCTCCCGTATAGTGTTTGGCGCCGAATAAGAGCTCAGGGGCTCTGTACCACCGCGTGACCACATTGGAAGTCAAATCCTCGTTTGGGTTGCCAAAGGCTCGAGCCAAACCAAAATCGGCAATCTTCAACTGGCCGTCTGGCGCCAAAAGAAGGTTATTGGGCTTCAAGTCTCGATGCAAGATAAAGTTACGGTGGCAATGGTGGATACCTCGGAGCGTCATGAGCAACCACAGCTTGATATCGGACGATTTGAACACGACGCTCTGGTCCTTGATGAGCACCTCCAAGTCACAAGGCAAGAACTCAAGAACCAAGTTCAAGTTTTTGTCCAGCGACATGAACACATCAATAAGCTCAATCACGTTCTTGTGGCGGAGCTCCTGGAGGTATTTCACCTCTCGAAGAGCCAGCATGTCTAGACCATCTTTGAAGAGACCTGTCTTGATTTCCTTGATGGCGATCTGTCTTCCGCTTTTCACCTGCTTGCCGACGTACACGACGGCATATGTACCTTCTCCGACTTTCTTGTCTTTGGAGTAACGGGCCTGCTCTTTTGCCTTGGCTTTGGTTTGAGTAGCAGACATGAGGAGTAGGAGGTTTAGAGTTGTAGCTTGATATTCGCGAAGTCTAGAGATGAAGCTAGGGTATGGAGAAGAGGGAGGTACATTTAATTTTATGGAATTTTCTTGAAATAAAAGAGAAATGAGCTGAAGTGTTTGAATGAATTCACTTTAAATGTCTTATTGTTGGGTTATGATTCTACTGGTCATTGGTGATGTGTGGTATATGGCTGCGAAATCCTACCCTAGATAATGCAATACACAACTGGCATCACTATTTATCTCTATTAAAATCATTTATGGCACTACTTCCTCGACCCTTGTGGAGCATGTATTATGTTTATGAATGTATGATTTTTGTAATGCTATTAATGCAACCCAGCACATTCCCATTGAGCAAACACATACCAGCTGTTGCCGCTGTCGCCTATAACCAACGCACGGTACGTTCCGTTCTCCTGGCAATTGATGTTGCTGCGGAACGTACCATAAGGCTTGTGGGGCTCGTCCTTCATCAACCGGGTGTATTTGCCCAGCGGTGATTCAATGACAAGCTTGAAGTCCTGGTTCATGATACCCAGCCCGCTGTTGAGTCCCATGGACGGATGAGCTTCAATCTCAAAGTTGTAGGCGTGGCCAACACTGATGTTGTTAAGCTGGGGATGCTTGATGTAAAGATCGTTATTTTGTGCCTGGTTAGTGGGGTAGCGTGGTACGAACTTGCAAGGTTTCTGAGAGCCTTGATGATAAAGTGGCACCACGCATGCCAACTCGTGAATGTTGTCAAAATGTGTCTGGAGACCCTTGGGACCGGCGAAAATCTGCAAGACGCCAACCTCTTCCTTGTCTGGAAGGACCGCCTTGACTTTGGCAATTCGCTTGCTGCCGCTCCAATAGACCTGACACAATGTGTAATCATTAGAAGTGGTCCTAGACGTTTTAATTAGGGTGAAGAGCTCGACATCGACAGGAAGGTTGATGTCAGCTTCGAAAAACTCTAAGTCTCTGATCCGGGTCAATGCATTGTTGAAGTTTTTAAACAGAAGACTGTTTTTGGTCCATCCCGAGTAGGTTCTGGGCAAATGATAGGCAATGTTGAGATCGACTGGAGGGCAGACGTGCTGCAACTCAATCACCGAAGGAATGTGCGTGGAAACGAGATCAAGCGGTTCTGCCAAGAAGTAGAACTCGTTGAAACCCTCCTTGTTGCAAATTGGGCCATTTTTGAAGCACATGAGATCAATGACGCGGAAAACGCCATTTCCATACATATCCGTCTCGACCATTACAGAGAGCCAGCAGTGGTTAATGACGTATTGCTCATTGTGGTAGAACTCGTTTGGTTTTTTCCAAAAGCCAAGTACCACCTCTGCTGGGATCCGCAACGCTTCAAGGAGTTTTTTGAAAAGATAGTTGAGCTGGAAAATGGTAGCTTCTCCCTTGGCCATGATCTCTTGCAACTTGGGCTTTGTTTGCAGAATCCGCTCGCTTTCCTCAATGATATGAAATTTGCACAAGTGCATGAGAACAGCCCTGATTTCATTCGGCCTCCAGGTGCCAAACTTGACGCTGATGTCGGAAATCAAATCGTTGAAGTCGAAGCTATGAGAGTATCGTTCGGAAAAGTCTGCCACCTTGCGGTAATTGACCTTCATATCCTTGGGTGGATCTAAATGCTGATCAGGGCCAAATGTCTCGCTTTCATTGATGTCGGTGATAAAGTCCAAAGGCCTTGCGATGAAATTTGGTTCTTCACGTACGGCTCTTTTGGTCCGCAGCTGCTTGTCTTGGGTGATCAAAGTGTTCATTCTGTTCAAGTCCACCTTAACGCTCTGCCAGTCATCGGGCTGGTCCTGCTGAAGACGCTGTTCCATCAAGTTCTGCTCGGGCTTCTTTTTCATCAACATTTTGAAGATCTTGGGATGCTTGGACTTTTTGTCTCTGAAAACCGAGTTCATCACGTCGCTGGGCTCCTCGTCCTCGGCAATGCTCATACGGCTCATCCTGTTCTCGGACTCGTTCATGTCTTTCTCGTACTTGTGCCTCATGAAAGAGCCAGCAGACGTGGCGCTGAGCTCAGAAAGATTGAGCACGTCGCTTTGCAACGACTTGAGCGACAGCTTCAATTGCTCGTTCTGCAGCTGCCTCCACGACTGGTCCATGTTTTGCTGAGAAGCACCAGATGCTCGGAAATCTTCAGGCGCAAAGGGCGCTGGGCTTTTATGCTTTGGCGGTGGAGGCGGAGGAGGAGGCTCGTCTTCGTCGTCAACGAGCTCGGGCTCGTCCAAAAGCGCCAATTTGGCGCCGAGATCGTCTTTGGATGTGTAGTTGCGTCTCAGCGACAAGATATCCTCGCTAACAAACGAACTCTCGACCAGCTGGCTGCGGCGCTGCTTCAGCTGAACGTGGGACCGCTCCAAACGGCGCAAGTTCATCAATTCCTTCTCAAGCTGTTGTTTCTTGTACGAGATCAGCTCCAACAAGTCGTCGTCCTGGGCACCCAATTCCACCATGCTATGGCGCTTATCGAGCCCCAGGCCCATGACGTACTGGGAGTAGAGCTTTCTCTCTGGGCTGTTGCCGTGCAGCGCCGTGAAGGAGGCGTGTTTCCTGTCGTAGCTCGTGTCGTACTTCTGCTTGCGGTCAAAGCTTGTATCGTATTTGGGCTTCCTGTCAAAGGAAGTGTCGTAGTATCTAGACTCGTCTAGCTGGGGCGCCAGCTTGGAGGCCGGCGACATGCGGTAGGGGGACTTGGTCGGGGTGGTGGAAGGGCTAAAGGGAGCCTTTTTGAGCTTAGTAGGTGTGTAGCTCTTGGGGCCTGGGGTTGTTTCCCTGGAGCGGGCGTTTCTCGTCGGCGTCGGGGCGGCGCTGTTGGATCTCAGATCCACAACGACATTGACAAAGTCCTTGGGGAAGATGCCCTCGTTGCCGTTTCTCAGAAGCAGCCCTTGCCACCACAGGTCGTCGACAATGTGGAAGACCTTGATGACCTCGTTCTCGAGGAAACCCAAGTCGCCGTCCTCCTCGCCAGACCAGGAGACCTTGGCCTTGGCCAAAAACGGCACCTGTGGGTCGGCCATGTTATTAAGGGAATGTGGGGTGGTGAGGAAGAGGATGGAGGTGGAAGAGAAGGTGGATAGTTGAAGGTGCACGGCTAGATACTACTGCGCGGGAGCGGGTGCCAGGCAGGTAGACTGTGAGGGTTTAGGGTGCGGTGAAACTCAGCACACAGAGGGAAACGGCCATTGTGCGACGCAGATTGCTTCCGAAACAGGGGTGCTTTTGGCGCCAGATTTTGTTCGCTGGGGGTTATTTCTGACGTGTTTGCCTGATTCGGTGCAACTGTCAATACGCTGCGAAGAGTTGCTTGTTTGGGTTTTCGCCCAAAGGGGAAGGTTGATCTGGGAGGGTCCCAGCAGGGGAGTTGACAGGGGAAAGAAGCGGATTGAAAAAAAGCTATTTAGCAATTGATCTAGAGGATTGCCCTGGCTGCTTGGATGCCCTTGTATGGTGGCCCTATGGTGGCCCTTCTTCAATGGGCAGAATGGCTGCGAAAAACAGATCGGAGACCTGCCTGTTTTGGGAACGACATCAAGGCATCCAGCATTGCTGGTGTTAGGTGCACTGCTAGGCTGGGAATGTGAATTTGTTTTGCTGATCCCGATGGATCGTGAAAATCGCCTGTTTCGCTTGTTGTGAAAAGCCGTGTGGCTTGTGACGTGAAGAAGGCTAAATATAGACAGAGAATGTTTTTGCGTGTTCTGGAAACCTCACCAGGCTGCCCCTCGGCTATATGGGCGATTGTCACGGAAACGGCAGGCACAGGTGAATTATCGACTTAACTCCGTGGATTCGATTTTGGATTTCGTCTAAGTATGCAAAAGCACAATGTTCCTTGTTTGCTGGCGTATGTACTTTATCTGAACCATGCGGGTTCTTAGGGATTTTCACGAACCTGGTTTGGGGTAGGCTTCTAGAAGGTCCAGCGTACGACAGATTGCTGGATCTGGCAAAAAGAAAAAAAAAAAAACCAAGTGCTCTCTTAAAATAAGTGAAAACCAAATGCTTCTTTGGAATAATTAAAGTGGCTAATTGCTTGTTTCTCGTTTAAATGGGCCAAAGAATATTCTTGAAGGAAGAGCCTTGAAGTAGAGTCTAATTCTTTTGTCCTGCTTCAATGCCGTTATCTACTCTTAGACTCTCTGTCATATGTTCACAACTACATCGCCATCGCCTGGCCTACACCCCCATACGTCCGTTAGTGCATTACGTCTCCGTCTATAATATATACATCACTGCTGCTGACGAACACCGCTGACAATATCGTCCACCCTCAACAAAAGACACGCACTCTCCACAGCGGTCTTGATCGACTGCTGCTTGATCACCTCAGGCTCCCAAATACCGTACTCGTTCATGTCCACAACCTTACCGTTCTCGCCGTCAATACCAAACGTGTGCTGACCCTCAGCATGCTTGGCTCTCAACTGGGACAAGATTCTGATAGCGTTACCGCCGCAGTTCTGCACCAACGTTCTGGGTATAACTTCAAAAGCGTCAGCCACAGCCTGGTAGGGCCATTGGGCAACACCTTCGATGGACTTGGCCTTCTCTGCAAGCTTCACACTCACAGCCATCTCAGTAGCACCTCCTCCTGGCGAAAGAGAAGCTTCGAACATAACATTACGTGCCACAGACATGGCGTCCACGAGGTTTCTGTCAATCTCGTTCAAGATGTCCTTGGAAGCACCACGCAACAACACAGAGCACGACTGCGGCTGCTTGCACTTGACCAAGTAAGTGTAGTACTCATCACCAATGAGCTCGACCTTGAAAAGACCGCAATTGATACCCACATCGGACTCCTTCAAGTCCTCGATTCTGTTGACAATGGTGGCACCGGTGGCACGGGCAATTCTGTTGTTGTCGGACTTCTTCACTCTTCTCAAGGCAGTCACTCCACCCTTCAACAAGTAGTGCTGGGCCAAGTCGGACACACCCTTCTCGGTGATGACAACATCCGGCTTGAACTCCAAGAGCTGCTCACAGATCAACTTGACCTGCTCCTCCTCGATCTGCAAGATTCTGTTCCAGTCCTCCTCCTTGGTGATCTCAATGTTGGTCTGCGACTCACCCTTCTTGTACTCCAAGGGGCAGTCTAAGAGAATCACACGGGGGTTCTCAATGTGTCTCTTCATCTTGGGGTGGGTGACATCCTTGTTCAACAAGATGCCGTCCAACACCTCCGAGTCGGTCACCTCTCCACCGGGGATCTTCTCCACACGCACGTATCTCTTGATGTCGATCTCCTTGTAGTCGCCCTGCTCGACCTTGACGGTTCTGACGGCCTGCAAGGCCAACTGGCACATCTTTTCCGACCACTTGTTCACGTACTTGGTACCGATGGAAGCCTTGATCAACTTGGTCATGGCCTCGTCGTTCTCAATGTCAACAGGCACAGACACGGAGTGGATGATCTCCAACGCGTCGCTCAACGCCTGCTTCAACGCCTGGATGATCACAACAGGGTGCAAGTTCTTTTCGATATATGGGAAGGTCTGGGCCAAAATCTCTCCAGCCAAAATGATCACGGTGGTGGTTCCGTCGCCCACCTCCTCGTCCTGAGTTCTACTTAGCTCAATCATGGACTTTGCAGCTGGGTGACTCACGTCGATCTCTCTCAAGATAGCGTGTCCGTCGTTGGTCAAGACGATTCCTCCCATGGGATCCAACAACATCTTAAGCATGGCCTTGGGACCAAGACACGTGCGGATAATGTCGGCCACGGCTTTGGCAGCAGTGATGTTGCTGACCTGCGCCTGGCGACCGCTCTGTCTTTCCGTGTTGGCGTTCAAATACACCACTGGAGCTTGCATTATGGTGGAGGATCTATAGTGAGCGAAGAAAAAGAGATGGTTGGCGATGTTGGGGCACGCACGACCGGACTTGACAAGTGTCACTGGGGAAATTTTTGGGAGGGGAGATATATTTTGAGGCAGTGGGGATTTGAATATGAGAGGATTTTGAGATTTTGCATTTTCATGTTGATTGGGGTTTTATGGGGTTGTGGTGGAATGGCTGCGAAATCTGCCAGGTGCGAGTAGGTAGGTGAGGTGGTCCACCGTGGTGATTGGAGGTGTGGAAAAAAGAGAAAGGTAGTGTTTTGATGTGATTTTCTGATTTAAGAAAAGGATGGGTTCAAACGGTTTTGGGGTGTCAATTGTGGTAGATTTGTTTAATTGTTCAATGGGTCGAGTGGATCTAAGGCTATACGGAGATGGTCGAATGCGGGATACAGTAGGTAAAGACTAGGCAAGAGTTGAAGAGGCGCGTTTTGCACCTCAAAATGCACTGTAGTTGGCAATTCAATATCGGAGTTATTCAGATAGTTGAACATAATTCGAGATCCAATTCGATCCGTAAGAATTGAACCCTTCAAATGCAAGATGTGCCTTTCACTTCCATCGAATACAATTCACGTCGAATGATTCAGGCTACTATAGGATTTCGCTTGGGATGGCTTCATTTAGGAAAAAGCTGCGACTGAAGATTCGTAAGAGCATCAACTATACTCTCGATCGAGGGACACCGGAATACCCACTGGAAACTTCGAGTTCAATACAAAACAAGATCCTGAATTTACAATAATTGACCAATAGAATTATTTTATTCTTGATAATTCTAAAGATTTATAAAATTCATCAAATCATGAGTCGTGAAACAATGGGTCAAGAGTTTGCAACCATTCCTCGCATCAAGTGTTGTACCCCATCCCACAGCAACAGACAAAAAGGACAAACAATAATCGAACTTTCAATCATCAAATCGCCCTTAAACAACGTCCTTTTCTATTTAATGAATCTTAGTGATTTCTTGAATTTGTAGATGGGGTTCCCTTTACCTGCCTGCCAGACCCCTACACCACCGCCGCTTGATCTCTCCAACTACCACCAGCAACACAGCATGGAATACATAAATGCCCATTTTGTGGCACTAGACGACTTGCAAAATGTCGACGACCACATCCTGCAGCTCAATGACCGTCTTCTGAAAATCAGCAGTGCGGTGGACGATAAAAAGACCGGATCTTCCAAAAGCATACCTGAGTCTACCAGCAGGCTTTTGGCTCAGCTAGAAAACATAGGTCCTGACCAATTGAAGTCGCTTTTACTGGAACATGGAACACAAGACGTGAAGAGCAGGTACGATGGCTTGCTTGGAGAGAAAGCACAGATTGAAACACAGAGAGAAGCATTGGCTCTTGGGGCTGAGATAGAGGACATTCTTGATAGAGGAGACTCCTTGGGGTTGGACGATTTGAAGGATTGTGCTAGAAGAGCTGAAGAAATCGACCAGTTTGATATCAGGGAGCTCCTAGACGCCAAGCTCATGGAAGTGATCAACCATAGGAAACAGCAGCTCTTGCCTAAGCTAGATGCTCTTCTTAAGGATATCAAGTGGCTCTCGCCTAAGGAACAGGTTTCAGTTCCTGCCTCTACGATGAAAGAAATCACCACCACAATTGGTCAATTGGTGGACCTCCAGGCCATTTCTGCCGTTCCTCACTACCCTAACGTTTGGTGGGCCTTGGAGAGCCTAGTGAAACCATTTGTGGTTCGTTTCAACTACCACTTTTCGCAAGCCTCCGAAACGAACAGAATGTCTCGTCCTGAGTGGGCCCTTAATTACGTTGAGAAGTTCTTTGAGGACTACCTTTCCTCCATTGAGTTGGTCCTAGGCGACGTTTTCGTGAAACACGGCCGTGTTGGCGTGTTCGAGGTCATAACAGCAGCTCTCGTGCCTGTTAGGGAAAAAATCACTGGCATGACGCAGTTGCTCAATTCACATATCGAGAAAGCTAACGAGGAGGACAATCTGTCCGACTTGGAGAAATACGGCCGGGTTCTCTCGCATTTGATCTTCGAAATGGCTTCTTTCGACCAACGTCTCCGCATAAATTACAAGTACAATCCACATGTCGAGTGCTTTGAAAAAGCTCCAGAGAGAAAATGGTTGGGTCTTACAGGCGACAACTTCATGGGCTCGTCCCTGAAAGATAGCCCTGTAGTGACCAACTGGCTCAACTTGGAACTCCAGCTTGCGAAAAAGCGATTTGATTCTGATATTATCGGCGCCGTCGACGCCTTCAGCATTGACTACGAATACGACGCCTCGTCTGCCAATGCCCACAACGTGCTCAAACCGAGCTACTCTGCATTTGCGTTGGTGAAGCTTTTTGACAACTTGACTACCCATTTTAAGACACTCAGTATTGTGAAGTACCAGCTCAAGTACGTGTCGAACATCCAGCTTACGTTCCTTGACGAGTACCTCAAAGCATTAGAAAACACATTCAAAGTGTTCAACGAGTCTCTCAGTTCCAAGCTCATAGCAAACTTCCTCCCCGGCTCTGCTAAACAGGAAGCCACTACAACAACACCTGTGGTTGTGAACAACGGCCTCAAGGGGTTGGAAATGCTCACTGGTATTTACTGTTCATTGAAGTTCATCATTCAGCATATGGAGGAATGGAGTGGAGAGCTCTTGTTTATTCAGCTTTGGAACTTCTATAAGTCCATTGCAACCAGCACTGTCACTGACGAATCCATCTTTACTTCCTCGCTCGACGAGTATCAGGCTATGCTCAAGAGGGTATTTTCCAGATACGAGGAATTTTTCAGAAAGGAGATCCGTGCTGCACTCAAGCAATTTGTGAACTCGGGTGTGTGGGTTATTGACGATGAAAGCCATAAGAACCAGCCTTCCACACTGCTTTCCAACTTCATCACCATCGTTCCAGCATACATGTCATTCCTCAGGCGCTCACTTCCTGACGCAGACTACTTCTTCGTCACCAGCAAAGTTTGTGACTCTTTCTCGCGTATTTTCCAAGAGTACGTGGTTACAAATAACCAGTTCAATGCCAATGGTGTGGAGCAGCTCAAGACCGACTTTGACTGTCTCTTGGGTCATTTGGCTGGTCCGCTCATGCTCAACGAAGACCACGCCCTTTTCACAAATTCGAAAAACAGAAACTACAAAAAGGTGCTACAATCGCTCGATATGTTAAGCACTCTCGATGTTTCAACGGCTAAGCTGCTCCGTAGTAACGCTGTGGAGGCATCTGAGGTGAGGCTGCGGTTCCTGGACAACCTCGACTGTTTGAGCGACAGAGAGGTCAACGATTTGCTTTTCAGAATTGTTTGAAATAATTAAGCTCAGATCAGTTTCTTCTCCATTTTCATCAGGTGCTGATTCGCAGCCAAATGGTCTATTATCATATCCGTGCATATAGCCGGCACGTCTGCTCTAGCATACATAAACAACGCGAGGGCTCTCTGATCCATAATTGATATACCGATGTCACTCTCACGGAAACGCGTATGTTTTACTTCAACAAGATGATCTTGAAAATTCACTAACAGTAGCATCTATCGCAGGAGGACACTCTCCTCAAAAAACCCGTCCACAAGTATGAGAGTATCGCCAAACTCTACAGCATCATAGATCGATCTCCCCATATCATGGTTCCTAGGAAACCAGCAGGCGTGGTTGTTGGTCGAAGCAGTGCCTGTGATATCCGTCTAGGTGGCGCTGACGTTTCCTCCAAACATTGCCAGTTTTCGTTATCTAGTAACAACAAGAAGGAGTATCTTCTACTCACGGACATGAGTTCAAACGGGACTTCAGTGAACAACGAGGTCTTAGGAAAAGGCTCTACGGCGCTTTTGAGAAGTGGCGACAAGATCACATTTGCCAAAAGCGGCTCATACATCTTCAGGTACCTCAGTGACGAGCAGGAGAACCTGGTTCAAAAGTCCTTTTTTGACGACTACATTCTTTTAAACCAGCTTGGAAGCGGACACTATGCTGTTGTTAAGGAGGCTAGAGACAGAACATCCGGTGACATCGTTGCCGTGAAGATCTTTCATCCCAGCAAGACCTCAGGACCAGGCAGTTCCGAAGAGGACGCTAAGCTCAAGCAAGAAATGGCCCTTCTTTTATCCATCAACCATCCGAATATCGTCAGGTTTATCTCGCATTACGTGGAGCCAATCAATGCCTTTTCCTCAACGACGTACTTGGTGCTTGAAAAGGTCAACAACGGCGAGCTCTTCCAGCGCATTATAGACAAGCAGAAGCTTCGACAGGACGAGACAAAGGCGATCTTCAAGCAGCTTCTCTCTGGTTTGCACTACCTCCACGAAAGGAACATCATTCACCGTGATATCAAACCAGAGAATATCCTTCTAGACATCACTCCCAAAGATTCAAATAGACAAGTGGCTACTGGCCCATGGGACGAGACCGAGTACGACGTACGCGTCAAGATTGCCGACTTTGGATTGGCCAAGTTCATCGGCGAGCTAAAGTTCACCAATACACTTTGCGGTACTCCCGCTTACGTTGCACCAGAAGTTTTGAATAACAATCGAAACTATTCGACGAAAGTTGATATCTGGCTGGCGGGCGTTTTGCTCTACGTTTGTCTCTGTGGATTCCCACCTTTCAGTGACGAGCTTGGGCCACCTAATATGAGGGACCAAATTATCGAAGGAAAGTACGCCTTCTACTCTCCTTTCTGGGACGATATTAGTGACAGTGCATTGGACTTGATCAGCAGTCTACTTGTGGTAGATCCATCAGAACGTTTTGATATTCTACAAACGTGTGGCCATTTCTGGTTTAGGGAATCTGACGAAGCACCTCAAATGGAAGTCACACACGATGAAAATGAGGTACCCATGAGGCCGCCAGTGCGTAACAACACACAGCCATTGACTTTACGGGACAAGTATGCTTCTGAATTAAATTTCGAGAGATCCTCGGCTCTATAACTGGGAAAGCTTGTGAATGATACCTTTTCTTGAATCAAAAAAGGTCACAAGCAATGCATAATTTGTTTCGGCATGGCCTTTGAAAGCCTCAGGGACATTCCGAAACTGCTGCCTGGCTAAGGCGTCAAGCTTCTTTTTTAGGTCTGCTAGGTTGGCAAGAATAGATTTGGCCTTCAGAAGGTTTTCTGTCTTGACATGGGAGTCGAATTGCCCAATGAGGCAAGTAATATCATTATTTCCCTCGACACCGAGCTTGAACCATTCGATAGCTTTCAGTGGATTGTCGAAGACGTTAAGTTCAAGGAAGCCCAATGATGCAAAGCTCTCTTGGAGACCCTTAGATGCACTGATCTCGAGGTGGTATCGAGAACGCTTTGGATCTGTCATGGAGTATAACTGACCTAGGTAATAGTGGGCCTTAATAATGCTGGTATCTAGCTCACCGAATTTGATGGCCTTCTCGAGGCATTCCCTAGCCTTGGCGAGATTAGGCTCGGGCTTTGCAAAGTTGAAATAAAACAAGCCCAAGCTCGTGTACACATGACTGGCCACTAGGGAGTCATCTTCAAGCTCCAAAAACTGATTCCAGTACTGAGCAGCCTGCTCGTGATAATTTTTGGCAAATGCAAGGTCTCCAGCTAACTTGAAGACGAGAGGATGCTTCGCATCTTGGAGTTCTTTAATAAGCTTGTTAGCATAAGCGTAATCTTCCGGCAGAGTTTCTGAGGATCCAATGGCCTCAAACGCCAACATGGCGATGGCATCGTTGTTTCCAAGTTCAGCTGCCTGCTCGATCAACTCATTTTCAAGATCCACCAAATTTTTGTTCACGGCGTTTGACAATGCACGGATGTCACGCAAAACTGCACGAAGTGTCATTAGGTCGTCATGTTTTGTATAATGGGGGAGTCTTATATTTGTGGGGGTTTCGAGGTTTTCATAAATGTTGGTGAAGATGGGCATCACCTTTTTGTATGCAAGGCGCGAGTCATGATCGAAAAGAAGACGGCTCAAAGTTTTCTGCTTCGGTAGCACAGACTGAATCGGAGGCCGAGAATAGCCTCGAAGGAACCCCCGTGCTAGGCTTGCAGAAGACATGGTAGTACGGACCATGAGAAACGATGTTGGTGTTTGTGCACACCAGACGCATTTTGCAACCACTGAATTTCGAACTCTACTTAATTGCACTAATTACTTTAATCATAAGACCCGTGGTAGCAGCAGGTCACGAAGAACTGAAAATGGGTCGTCTCGTCGGCGGGACAAGAAATAATAAAACTCAACGCAGCAGGCTTGAACGAGTGGCGCTCCAGTGAAAGGGAGATCAGTAATGCGAGTTGTAGTCAATGAAAGTGTCCACCTGGTTGGCCGCGGACGCTCCTGGGGTCTCGGTGGTGTTAAGTTCTGGACTGTGAACAAGGAGATCGCTGGCCTGAAAGTCTTCGTTGTGTGCCTCGTGCAGGTCAAATCCGTAGACATTGCCATGTCCGTCGTTGCCGTTGAAGGCATGCTGTGTCTGGTAATCATCCGGGAGCTTGCTTAACTGTGCATACGGCGAGCCGGCCGCCTTCTTGTGCGATGGGCTCGGTATGACGCCGTCTTCTTCTGTGTTGGCGTTTGTCGAGGCGATATTAGAGCCAGGCGTCTGCACCGCACTGAAAAAGTCGGGCGTCGCTGTCAATATGCTTTCGTCGTGGTTCTGATGCGCCAAATGCTGGAACAGCGGGTGTGATTCGAATGGTGGACGGGCACTCACCAGGGCGGTGGCCAGAGCTTGGTCGCTGAGTTGCTCCCAGTGCTCGTGCTTGATCTGCAAATCGCCGTGCTCTTTACCTTCGTCAAATAGCTGACTGGCCATGGCGGCCTGATGGAAGTCAGGCGTGCCGTTTTGCAGAGGCCCAGCGGCGTGGGCTCTATCGAATGCAGAGGCTTGCTGATGGTGCGAAAGGTTGTGCTCTGTGATGAGCGATTTGAGATAAAGCAAGGCATGCTTTGGACCGACTAACACGTGGGGTGTGGAAGTGCCGCCCGGAGCGTAGTAAGCGGTGGAGACCTGTTGGGCTTCGGAGAAGTCATCGCAGATGGACCACTGGTTGAGGTTTGAATTAGCCGACTCGAAGAAAAAAACGGAGAAACGGGGCTTGCGGGATAGGTTGAGCCGCAACTCGTTGCTCTCCTTGTTGATGTTGTTGTCCAAAAGCAGGCACTGGAGGATGGAGCTAAGCGGATAAAAGATGCGAAAGAGGATCTTGGTGTTGTTCGACACGGCCAGGAAAAAGTAGTTGATTTCCTGGTTGCGGCGGGATAAAATCACCATCAAATCCACCTGTGACATGGCTGCGTTGAGTGTGAACGGGGCGAGGTTGACTAGGGTCTGCGGAAGATTGACATCGTGGGAGCCGCTCTTGATCCGCTGCCAGCTGCCGACAGAAAGCGACAGACAATCAACAAAACAGTACTTTTCATTAACTTCGACGGGGATCTGGGCCTGCGCCTGGAGCGCCGAGATGCTAGTGTACGAGTTGGAGCGGGAGGAGTGGATGCTGGAGCCCAGGTTGGAAAACGTGGAAGAGGCAGGCTTGCCATTATGGGAGGGCTTGACGGGGCGACCCAAGCGCTCGAACTTGCGGAGCTTTGCCCGGCGATTCTGGAACCAGATCCTGACGGCTTTTTCAGACATGTTTGTCCGTTCGCTGATGTCTTTGCGCTGGTCAGGCAGAGGATTCTGGTTCTTGTCGAACTCTCGTAGGAGAAGCTCGAGAACCTCGCCAGAGGCTCGGGTGCGCTTGTTGGCGGATTCTTCAGCCATGGGAGCGTGCTGCGGGGTCGACTAGCAGGTCTGCTTCGAAAGTTGGAAGAACTTTTGCAAGTTGGTAAAACGGGAGGTGGGAGAGGGCCCGGGTGGTGTGCCTGTCTGCAGGACGGGAGGCCATGAGAAGTGCTCTGGTTCGGTAGAGCATCTGGAGCGCCGCTCCTGCGCCCTTCTGCATTCCTCTGCTTATCAACACCAGCCACGGCGCTAGACAACCAGGGACAAACGGAAAAACAAGCGGGCCAACAAAAGACATAATGGGCGGGATCGGCGTGGGGCGAGCATCAAAAGAATAAAATATAGACCAAAACGTCGATCCGCTCCCGGTTGTATTTGCCCAAAACTGCCAGCCGAAAAGGGCTACTATTCGACCGAGAGCTGGTGGCTTTACTTCGCAACCGAGGCGAGCACGCCATCGCCATTGATTTTGTCTCCCTCCACGTTAAAGCATGTTGCCTCCACAAGAAAGCAACACAAAAGCCGTCAAGATGCATCTCCACGCATACTTCATCACATTTTTTTTTTTTTTTTTTTTTGCGTACACCAATTCTGACCTGTGGCACTTTTAGCCGCCGTGTGTCTCCCATGCGTAGTTTTCCTCAGGCCCTTAGCCAATGCTCATGGCGCCAAAGCGGCCTATTGTGCAAGCCCAACACGCATGCTTTGTTCCTGGGGCTGAGCATTGTCGAGTGGTGAAGCTCTTTGTTGAACTTTTCGCCTTTGTGGTCCGAGACAGCCCATTCGAGACCTTGTGGGCCCGAGAGCCTGTGGACCAATCCTAGGCGAGCCTCCCACGTCCCGCCTGGCTGCGAAAATAGCCGCTCAAAGCAACACTGCATCGCAGATGACTACTAGAGCATGAGATCGTCGAGCAAGAACTCCTCGAATGCCGCAAAGCACTGCTTCATTTCCCGCCAAGCTTTTGTAGGCTCCCATCGCCGGTACTCCTCCACAAGTTCCATGAGCAACAGCAAGTTCTCAATGTGTTTGATCGCGAGCAAGTCGTTCACCACGCCTCGAACGTTCCATGGAAGATGGTATAAATTCTTGTCGCTCTGCCACACTTGTGTTTCTGGTGCTGCTGAAGCGTCCGGCTTGCGGGCCGGGCCCACCCGTGAGGTTCCCGGTCTTTCGAGCTTCAATTGCCGTGAGCGCACTAGACTGGTGGTTTCCATGGTAAATCGTAGTCCGACGTCGTATACCTCGTCGTGCTCGTAGATCCGCCCGTGCGATCCGTGGTTAACATTAACCGGGCCCTGGAGCCGCTCGCTTAGATCCGTCACCATGTTTTGGTCCAGGTAGCCCACGTTCTGCATTGTGAGCATCACCAGGAAGAGCTTCACCAAAAACGGCGGAACCGTGCTGCATTCGTCGACGTAGATGCTTTTGTAGATGTTGGGGTGGCTGGCGGCCAGGTCGACTGCCAGGAAAAGCGGCACAAATTGGTCGTTCAACGCACCGACTAGGGTCATTTTCACATTCTGCTCGCACAAGTACCGGGTGTCTGCGCTGAGCTGCTGGGCCAACTCAGACCCGGTTTTTTGCAACTCGAAAAGCTCCTTGATGATTTCGTTTTCCGCTGGGTAGTATGCTCGGATCACCACTCGGGAATTGAGCCCTGGGTACGGCCCGCAATGGATACCTGCCATGCTGAGCATACCGAGCTTCTTGCGGTGCAAGTGGAACTCTTCACTTTGGTGCATGGCACTGAAAAGCGAAATCGCCGCCGGCGTGGCGATGGAGCTGCTTACGAAAAACACAACGTCGGCGCTGTTGATCTCGTGGCGCCAATTCCTCAAAAGTCGAAACAGCTGGTGCACCCTCTCGGTAATGGTGCCCTGGCCTTCTAAGCAGATAGCACTGACGGATGCATTTTCGTCGCCAAACCAGCGGCTGACTGCGTCCATGGCCCGCTGTCCAAACTGCTTGGCGCTGCCGGTCGATTGTGCAATGTAGTTCCGGACAAACTTGGGTGGGAGAAGACTGTGCATGGAGATCACCACGACGTTCTTGCGAGACTTCCGTTTCGAGGCAATGGAGCCTTTGGTGCCGAGGTAGAGGTGGCGTTCGCTGGTTTGGTCGCCCTTGAGGAGCTTTTCGCCAAGAAGCCGTGCTTTGGTGACGAGGGTGATTTCACGAAAGTTGTGGTCCAAGTCTGGGAGCACCAGCGGGTGGGCCAAATGAGAGTGAACCGACGAGGCTCTGGAATTTGTCTGAGGAGAGGTGACAGGCGCCTGCTCCTCTTTGGCCGTCGCCTCCTTGGGTGTCTCTTTTGGCACCTCCTTCACAGCACTCTCCTTGGCAACTTCAACCTTTGCGTCTCTAACGCTCGAGCTAACCTTCGCATCTTTGACGTCCAGGGTGGTCTCCGCATTCTCGTTTAAGTCGGCCCGGGGCTCAGGTGTCTGGTTAGCAGCCACGGCCCGATCCTGGCTTGTTCCCGTACCCTGGTTCTTCCTGTTCTGGGAATCCTTGTTCTCGATTGGGGCGGCAGCGGTCTCTGCCTTGACCTCTCCATTGTGGTCTCTCTTGCCTTCCTTCAAACCTTCCTTCTTCAAACCCTCCTTCTTCTGTTCCTCCTTCTTGAGCTCCTCCCTCTTGATCTCCTCCCTCCTCTGCTCCTCTCTCTTCTGCTTGGCCTTAGCACTGACCATATTGGCCTCCAAAAGCTCGTTGGGCAACGCGGGGCCTCTCTTTCCAAACAGCACCGGAGCCTGTTCCGTCTCCGTGCCTATCACGGCCAAATACGCTGTGTTTTCTCCACGCACGTACTTCACGGCGTAGTGGGCGTTTCCTCGGGAGTTTTCCAAAGCGGTTCGGGCCGCCCGGAACACCTCAACGTGGTCCGTGTCCTCTGTGTCCAGCTCTGGCTCTGCTGTGCTGCCAAAGGGCCAAAACCACGACAGACTCTGTTTCAGCTCGGGTTGCGGTTCGGGTTCAGAAGACGACCAGAACCACGAGGAAGCGGGTTTGTTCGATTCGGTGTTTTCAGCATCATCGGTTTTCGCCGCCTCCAGGGGCTCAGGCCCGCTCAGCCAGAAGAAGAAGGATGACTTTGATTCCGGCTGGGGCTGATCAGGCTGCTGGGGCTCCGGGTGGTCCGGTTCGGCGGCGCCGTTCTGCTCCGGGTTGCGCCAAAACATGAAATAGGCGATAGTTAGCAAAATAATCTTGGATATTGGTGTGCGCTGGTGGTGTTGACGAAGTGGTGATGTTTGATGTTAGCCTCACATGGATCTTATCAGGCACCCAAAAGCACCGCGCAGGCCATGTGAGAGCACCACGGAGAATAATATTCCCTAATTGAGCCAGGCTTGGGTGGGAGAGGAAAGATGGGCAATTTGGCGCTTCATTGCTGTTTTGTTGTTTTTTGGTGCTTTAGGGCTCCGATTGTAGTGGGGATGTCTTGGCTTACAATGGGTGCAAACAGGGTCCAGGACCGTGGGGTAGGCACCGATAGTGGATGAGTGGATTTGAAAAGATGTTTATTTTATTGGAACTACGGCATTTATAAGAAAATGAAGGGAGGACGCTTAGGAGGATTTAAAACGGGTTGCAGCGTTGCTTGGTTATGAGTGTTGTGGAGGTCGAGAGGATCAGAGGATCGAGATGGAAAGCACAGTGTGGAAAATGTGACATATGCGAGGTGCGATGGACCGAAGAGGTTGTGGTCAGGTTTGTTAGTGTGAGAGATTTGGCAGGTTTTTGTGTACTTTTTGTATTTTTGGGAAGTTTGTATGTGACGCTGTTGCAGTTGCTGTGGAGGTGACGGTATTTTTCGTATATCCCAACTTTTTCGCTGTGATATTTCATGTGGCTGAGGCGCCGAGCCGGTGTGATTTTGCAAACCGATGTAGATTTCTAAAACCGTGGATTTCAGAGACCGTAGGTTTTGTTGATCTGTAGATTCCATTAATTATGTGGTTTGTGCCCTCACATGCTGGTCAGGTTGGTGCTGATGATGGTGTGCCAGAGGGGTTCCTGATGCTGTTCCACAGCTAGTGCTGCAGTATGATGGGCTCCGTATTCAAAGTAGATGCTAGTGGCGGAGACCGCCGTGAAAAGAAAAGCGAGTTTCATTGGTGATTTTACTCTTGGGTGTTTGTCCTATATAGGCCACTCGTGGTGTGATGTTTGCAGGGCAAAGTGGGGCCCTCCAGGTAGAAGCAAAACAACCATAGGGGAGAAAAATCAGTGTTTGAAGATTTTCTTCTTTTCCTTCTTTTTCTTCTTTTTCAGCCTTCAAGGATTTTCTTTCTTTTCGTCACTTTCATAATTCAGCTGTGGTTAGGCAACCTCGATTCACATTACTGACCCGCATTGTCACACTGGCTGCAAATCAAGAACCACCAAACACATACCGACAAATTGAAGCCATTTTACCCAAAAACACCCATACCCACAAAACCCAGGCTTTAAGCACATCCTCCGACTCCTCAAATCCCAAAAAGCCGAAAAACCCGTAAATCATCCCCCAGGTCTTGGGCCACTATCTCACCTCATTCCTCCACACTAAACTCACAGCATGGACCCATGGAAGCAGATTGAACAGCGCTTGGGGGCCCGAGACACCCTAGAAAAAGAGCATGCTGAACACTACAAGGCATTTTCTCAGCTTGCACGGCTACTACGACCCAATTGGGACAAAGAGAGAGAGTCTGTGGTTCTGGAGAACGAAACGCTTGTGGAGCGGTTGAACAAGCAAACACTACGACTCGAGAGCTCTGAGGGGAAGAACGACGAGCTAGCTAGACAAATACGATCACTTCAAGCGGAAAAGAGCAAGTTGGAGCAGAAAATCGTGGCTTTGGGCGAAGAAGTTGCTGAGAAGAACAGGGCCGTGGAGATCCTCAATGACGAGCATCTAGTGCACCAGATTCAGCATAACGTGTTGAAGGATGAGATAGCCAAGCTCAAGGAGGAGAATACACAGCTTGTGCTGCGGTGGATGGCCCGGGTGGCCCAGGATGCTGATTCCATGAACTTGCAGAATGAAAGTGGATGACCCGGAGGGAATGAAGGGAGGGGATTGAAAGAATTACGAGATAATTGCCCAATTGAGGTGATAAGCTGTTGATTAATTTACCGCTGTCGAGTCAATCTATAACGGTCAATCCATTGTGACATATAGTACTGGTTACAAGACATCTGCATGCTATATCATATATCGATGGAGTCAATCTATAGTCGTTGAGTCAGTCGTTGAGTCAATATTATTTGTTGAGTCAATCTAAGCTGTTGAGTCAATCTTGGCTGTTGAGTCAATCTTAGCTGTTGAGTCAATTGGGCCTTATAGTCTGGTTGCCATCTGCATGCACCACACATCAACCATTAAACGCATCCGACTACAACTATCCCATGCACTTGTGTATTCATATGCTCGTATATCGTTTACTTGGAGGTGTCCACAACGTATCTGCCCAAGATCTTTCCCTGTTCCATCAACTCGTAGATCGATGGCAACTCGGACAAACCAACAATCTTAATAGGACACTTGATCAAGCCTCTGGCAAAGAAGTCAAGAGCCTCAGCAGAGTCAGCTCTGTTGCCCACGTAGGAGCCTCTGATGCTGACCGACTTGACCACAGCGTCGAACACTGGGGCAACAACCTTGGCGCCGGCTGGCAAACCCACAAGCACGACAGTACCGGTGGATCTGATGTACTCGACAGACTGTGCAATGGCCTTCTCGGAAACAGAGACGTTGATGGCACCGTGTGGACCACCGTTGGTGGCAGCAACAACCTCCTTGACAATGTCCTTCGTCTTGGTGAAGTCAATGAACACCTCGGCGCCCAAAGACTTGCAGAACTCCTCCTTCTCCTCACCGCCATCAATGGCAGCAACTCTGTAGCCCATGGCCTTGGCGTACTGGATGGCCAAAGAGCCCAATCCACCACCAGCACCAGAGATACACACCCACTGGCCAGCAGACACGTTGGCGGTCTTCAAGGCCTTGTAGACGGTGATACCAGCACACAAGATAGGAGCGGCCTGGGCCAAGTCCACGTGCTTGGGGATTCTGGCAGCCTGGACGGCATCGGCAGTGGCGTACTGCTCGAAAGAACCGTCATGCGTGTAACCGGACAAGTCAGCGTCGGCACAGTTTGGCTCGTCACCGTGCTGGCAGAACTCACAGCCCAAACAGGAACCGTTCAACCACTTGACACCTGCGTAGTCGCCAATCTCCCAACCCTTGACGTTCTTACCCATGCCAACAACGACACCGGCACCTTCGTGGCCACCGACCAAAGGCAATTTGGTAGCCAATGGCCAGTCACCTTTCCAGGCATGCAAATCGGTGTGGCAGACACCGGAGTACTTGATGTTGACCAAAAGCTCGTTGGCCTTTGGCTCGGGGACAGGGATGTCCTTGTACAACAAAGGACCACCGTTTTCTTCAAAGATCACTGCTTTTTGTGTTTTTGGAATGCTCATAATTGTTTGATGGAGAGGAAAGTGCTCTGGGCTCGGGGTTCAATTTATACTTTTGCAGCCGCTGCACATCTGACGCACTTACATGGACTAGTGCGCTCTCTCGCATAGGGTGACTGTGCGGCTCAATTTAACACGATTGGCTCCGGAATCAGGTGGTTTGCTCTCGGAGTGGAATTGGCCATATTTCGGATAAACTTTCGTGGAAAGGGGTCGTCCGTTGGCGGCATTGTCGGTTGCGCCAATTCGGTAAATTTCACCATAATTTCTTTTCGTCAAAGCAATCCTCTCGATCCCCTCCCTCAATAACGACTCACAGGGTCTTAAAAAATTCCCCCAAAAATTATTTTCCGATGGATGCTCTTCCCCCCCGCCCCGGAATACGCTTCTAGGATCTGCACCAGCATCGCTGTCAATTCGTTGTCACGTATCTGGATCATCACCTGATGTATGCGCTAAAAGGGCAGCGACCATCATGCGTTTACCGCGCCACGCCCTAGTCGGCCCGCTAACAGGTGGACCGTTTCAGCTGCACTGGTACATGCTGGTGACCGTTTCAGATACACGTAGCATGTTACATCTGCAACATCGACTGCAAATGGAAGCTTGTTCGACGTGTGGAAGGATGAATTTACTCTGCCTTGCAGTAGACAATTATGTCACCCCAACGCCGGGGGTCCCAGTGGAAGTAGCTGTTGAAAAAACGGCCGCATTCGTAGTACGACAGCCCAAGAAATGTAGATACAACATCCTCCATGTGGGCGAATATCACCAAATGGGATGGCCAAGGCCTTTGGGTTGTGCCAATGGCATTATTAAGAAAACCAACGGGGTCGTCGTAGAACCTGTCCAGTTCGTCTCTGTAGGATTTGACGTTTTCCAAGTTTCCACTGGCTAAATGCAAAGGCGGCTCGCATGTGAGCATCCACAGGTTCAGCACGAGATCCTCACGATGGAAAGACAGATGCCATGGAACAGAGTGGCACGGCGTAAGGAAGCCCACCGATGTAACTTCAGAATTGTTCGTGAGCCAATTGACCACATCGATCTCACCCTTCTCGTTCACTCTTGTGAAGAACAATGCAATCACAGCATGAAGTAGCACCACAGCAGCGGCCAACTTCTTGACGTGGCGCCGATGTAAGAACAGTCTTGCCGCTTGGGCCGTATGGACCATGAAGATGGGGTACAACGGGTATATAAAGCGAAACTCTTTATGGGCGATGCATGAGAACCCGACAATCACGAACAAGCTGGTATTGGCCAAAAGCGTGTTTCGGAAACGCCACATTGCAGAAGCCCAGAGGGGGATGTAGCCCATGAGGAGGAGTGGGATACCCTGGAAGATGTAGAAGTGCCATGGAGCACTGCCATAGAAGATCAGAAGGTTTTTGACCACGTTGAACTCGATGAAGTTGTATAGCGGGAAAGTCCACTCGCCGTAGAAGAGGTGGTCTGGGATCGCCGCCAATGCACAAACAATGCCAAAGAGCACGGTTAGATCGAGACTCACCAGAAGTAGTTTTCCAGGATGACCAGCGTTATTCAACACAAAGGAAGCACCAAGAAAGCCCCATAGAAGGGCATTGGTAGGCCTGACAAGGCAGCTGAGGAATCCAAAAAGGCAGCTTTTGAGGATCCCTCCGTTAGGTCTATTCCAGGGCCAATAGGCCAACCCAATGGTCGTAAGAACCATCTCTAGATTGTTCGAAAACGCTCGTGTCACAAAGAACCAGTTCCAGCCGCTGCAGAGCGACGCGGCCAATGCCAATGTGGCAATCTGGACACTCCCAGTGTATGCCAATGCAAACTTGTACAAGTAGGTTTCTCCCAAAGCAGCCACTATAGCCCCCACAAACCGAGGAGCCAAGTACGTGGACCAAGAATCGTCAAAAGCCAATCCAAACGCTTTGTATGCCAACGCGTATAGCCACACGTGTAGCGAGGAACGCAACTGTTCATGCCATTCCCATGTTATGTATCCGTATCCGTAGACCAACTTGTGAGCTGGTTCTAGCGCCTGGTAAAATTCGTCCGGCTGGAAGAACGTGCCTATGGATACTGCATTCAAAAACCGAATCGCAGCCACCACACCAAAGATCTTGACGCCTGGGTGCATGGTGGTTACTATCACCAAAAGTGTTGATAATGCGCACTTGGTTACTACTCACGATGAAGGAGCACCTAGCTGAGGTGATTGAATTGGTGCAGCAGAGTCACGTGGCTCTCGCCGAAGGGAAGCATCCCGAGGCCCGTGTCATTTCCATGAAAGCTGCCATGACGGCGGGGAGAGTGCTCAATACTTTCACTGATCCAGCTGAGTTGAGGTTAGCTAAGCCTGTGGCTGCTTTTACGCTACAGTGGACGGATTTACTCAGGAAAGACGCCGAAAAAGCGCTCGCTCTTTCAGATAAGCTTCTATGGCTTTCGTGTGAGATCCACGGCGCCAATTGGTACCCGGTTTTCAGATTTGAAAAGGGCCTGTCCATGGACTACCAACCTGTCAATTACGAGGATATCTCGATACAACTTCCAGAAACAGGCCTTGATCAGGTGCCGGAGTTTAGGCTTGTCGGTAGTGATCCGGGTCTCGAAGGATTTGACGATTTGTGTCAGGACTTGCTTCCGAACTGTTCGTTTGTTCTGTCGCTTCTATCGATCTACGATCTCAACCTTGGCGATAAACTCGAGAAGCTCGTGACCTACGACGACGAGGAGGACGCCGTGAAGGTGAAGCTCCACATCAATGGCTGCGAGCGAGAAATCAGCATTTCAGCCGAATTGCCCTTCTTGGATTATCCCGACGATGAACGCCATTTGTTTGTGCTATCCTCCACCAACGCTGCCCTTATGTGGCCAGCATACATTGAAAAAGCATACCTTATTGCCCTGGGCGACCACTACAACTTTCTGGGCTCCAATATGGCCCAGGATACATATATGCTTCTTGGGTGGGCACCTGAAGTACGCAAAATCAGCAAAATGAGCATGGAGTCCTTTGCAGAGCTATGGGATTTAAGAAAAAAAGGCCTCTTGGCTCTAGGTTTGGGTACAGGCCAAATGCTGGACTCATTGGCCTCGCAATTGGAGGTTGTGTCTGGACATGACTATGTGGTGAGTGGATATAGCGAAAAGGGCTTGACGCTTAAAAATCCATGGGCCAGTGCCGACTCTGGGCGTTTCTTAAACGTTGATGCGTCTGTCTTCGGTCAATTTTCCTATGTCTACTTGAACTGGAATATGGATGCCTTATATAAGCACAGTTTTTCCACCGCAGTGATCAGCCCTCCACCCAAATCGAAGGCTCTTCTTCTCGACAGGCCGCAGTTCGTGTTGGAAAATAGCAGCAGCGAGACTCAAACTGTGGGCATCACAGTGGAACACTTTCTTTTGAAGAACGAACCAGTGTCCCCCTACTCTGTGAGCGTGTACGAAAACACACGAGGCAAGGTGGTCTATCCTTCACAGTACGTTCGTGCCGCTGGCGGCAAGATGACTACCATGAGAGTCTACTTTTTGAAGTTTGAGATTGCGGCCAACACAAAGAACACTTTGGTAATTGCAGGTCCTCAAGGCAGGGTTATTTTCCTGTTGAAGCTCTGGAGCCATTCACCTGCAGTGAAGATGTACCGAGCCAAACCCACTTATGATAATGTTACTGAGATTGAAGATGCATGGACCAAAGACGATAACGGCGGTAATTGGGCACTTGAGCTGTACATCGACAATCCACAGTGGGAATTGGAGATCAAGCGCCGCATGCCGAAAATGTTTATCGCTGTATCGTGCAAGGAGGAGTCAGACGTCAATTTCCATTTTCTCCATACCGAAAAATCGAAGAATTTGACCAAGCTCCGAAACTTCGACAAGTCAAAGATTCTCTTTTGCGACAATTATTCGCCTGGTATCCACCACCATGAATTGCACGATGTGGAGCCTGGAAACTTGCGTTTGGTTGTGTCCAACTATAATTCTGCCTATATCGGCAAGTTTCACCTTCTTTTGATGTACGACGGCAGTAAGGGCGACCTCGTTATCGAGAAGGTGCCCAAGGCTTTGGGTCTCTACAATGATACCGTGGAGTTTTCATGGAATCTTCGGAACCGCTACAAATTCACCGTCAGAACTGAAGTCACCAACACATCGGTCATCTTCAAATTGCAGGCAGGCACCAAACCACAGACCTTATCGCTGTATAGGCCAGCGGTTCGTGCGTCTCTTTTCGATGCTGTGACGCAGCAGCCGGTGGTTGTCAATGACAAATGGAACGACAGTGTTTATGGTGTATTTGTGGATTGTGTGTTGAAAAAGCCTAATCATGATTACATATTACTTGTGGAGAGGTTCGAGACAGGAGAGGGAATTTGCAGGGTCACCCTGGGCTCCTCCAGCAGGCTCTCTGTCAAAGGCGAGGACGAAAAGTGAAGGAAAGGGATTGAGGAATGTGATGAAGGTTAGGAGGAATCTGGACCAGATGGGTTAAAGATTGGGAGTTCCCATCAGCCACCGTTCGAAAATGAAAAGTATTCCTAGTATGCCCACCAATTTGCAACAAACACTACGAGCATTCATCAAGCTAAAAAAAATAAAAAAGCCAAAAGCTTATATTGAATTAACGAAGTACGACTGAACCATCCTAGGTCCGCAGCATGCATTACGTCAAAAGCGCGTAGTTCAGTATCAACCAGTTGAGAACCACACAATACAAACGACAATTCAAAAATGAAAAATTCAGAAAAGCTTACTTTCGGGCCACAAAGGTCAATGTACCGCCGAACTAGAAAAAAATCTCGGTATTCTCCAACTTCTAGCACTACATGTTCTCCTCCAGTATCCTACCATTTGGCTGCGAAACAAAGTCACTCCAACGAGATGCACCATATCCACCAAAAGCACACCCAAAGCCCAGGAAGCAACTTTTTAAGTTATTCTAATACTACTGCTACCTCTCCCTATAAATACCCCACACTATCCGCCCAAAACGCCTCGGGAACTGCTTTTCC